ACAATTATTTTCCCGTTTTACTTCTTTAACAAAGATATGGTTTTATCACAACAAGAAAAGTATAACTCATTTGCTGTGCACAATAGGCCCCCCACCCCAAAATAAGGTGATTTATTTGAATGTTCTACAGAACTTTGCATGTGTGTGCGCCTGTGTGACAGTTTAGGTAGTTCTTGTGCCTCCAGAAATCACACAGAATCATGATATTAGTGTTTCTATAGTCTGCTCGAGTTGCTATCTCTCTCTTTCACACTGTCTAACTGTCCCCTTCTGCTTGACCACTTGTGTGAATCGCATGCGCTCTGATTTCATGTATTGCTTAGATATCTATCTCACTGTTAATGCATTTTATGATTGAAAACAGCAATAATAATAATAATAGTTTTAATAATAATAATAATAATGCTAGCAATCATAATCGTGATTGAACTATACATCATGCATACATACACCAAGTCAATCGGTAGTAGTATCCAGTCTTTGTATATGCATCGTGACGACAAACATTCATATTTATATCTATTTTTCTATGCAACTATGTAGAACAGACTGATTCCTCACGATTTTGTTTGTGTTCCTCTTTCCCTCACCTCGACTCCCCGCCTCATAACAAAAAAAAATCGAAAGTAGAATCTTTCAAACACAACAGAACAAAAATGTGCCTGAATGAAACTCACCTTTTCTTAGCGCTTTATACGTGAATTATGCACATCTATATACAATTCAGTGTGTCTATGTGTGTTTGTGTGTGTTGAATGTGTAGCCGGAGAGACAACAAATGAATCAAATCTATCATCTACCCTGCCCCGTGCTCCACAACCATCCAATTCTCGCATGTGTGTGTAATTGACAGTATTTTTTTCTGAAAGATTTTAATTTCTCTGACTAATTTTTCGGTTTGCATTTATGAGAGATGGTATTCGTTTTATTGTTTCTTGTCCTCATATTATACGATACATGGTTTCCCCCTTAGAGCTATCTATTAGCTATTAGCATGAAACGTTGCATCAGGGTCATGTTCACGTGTGTGCTTTCGAGTCTGTGCGTGTGTGTGTGTGCAAGCGAGCGAATGAGCACGTGAGAAAGAGAGAGAGAGAGAGCTAAAGAAGGTGGTGTCATAGACCCACCTTTCCGCCTTGTCTGCATCCCTTCCATATTATAACACTCACATAGATAAACACACACACACACACAAGTTGCATCCTGTTCCTTGAATCACTTCACATATGATTGGTGTGAAGTAACTTGCTTGTATGTATCCATTCATCCATCTATCTATCCGCTTAATTAATCGCTTGTTCACCAAGTCAAGTCAAGTCCAGTCCAGTCAAGTCAGGTCAATTCAGTTCAGCTGATTATATTTGTTAAATTTCATTGACACATGAGTAATTGACTGGCTGCTGAACTACTTACTGTGTGATGTTCATTTGTCTTGACATTTCCCCCACCCCCTTTTGTTTTGTTTATTTCGTCTACTGTGTATCTTTTCTGCATTTTTATAATGCTTCTTCAATGATTTAAAGCACATTCCACCGGTGTATATTTATACAACTGCACTGAATTAATGTATGTGAGTGTCTGTGTGTGTGTGTGTATGTACTTGATATCAATCATTATTAGTGTATATGCATTCATTATATTACTAGCCTATGCTGTTTGTGTAGATTTATTTATCTTGTATCCTTGTAGGTTAATTTTTATTCTATTTCCACGAATAATTATTCATTTCAAATGTTTTCTAGAAGGTGATGTTGACAAATATTCAGTGAATTGGTGGAGGGTGAGTGGGAGTGGGATCCATCAGGATAACGCTTTTTACTTACCCTCTATGGGGCACTGACTCATCAGGTAATGGATGTACCGTACCTACATTCCTCAGTGAGTAAGTGAGTTATTGATGGTGTTCCCTCCCCCGCCCACCTGCACATTGTCAGAGTCGAACTCAGTAGTCATCGTTTCAAAGTCAAAAACGCGTCATCCCCTATATCATTTGGGCCACAAGAGCCACCTCTTTTACTAAAAAATGTGTATGAGTTACTATTTCATTCAATTTGAACTTTCTCGTTGATAGATTGAACTCCAATGTGCTCTGCCTCAGGTTGTGACATGTTGGCTCCTTGTGGAGAGAGAGGCTTCGACGATGTCTGATTATTTAACCTGAAGTAAATTGGTATATGGTGACTAGAAGTGGAATTCAGTATGCTCAGGTGGATAACCCGCCTTTGAGTGCTGAACGATGGTTACTGGGTTTCAGCTTGAGTGTGTGTGTGTGGGGGGGGACTCCATTGCTGACTCACTCACTGAGGGATGCAGGTACAGCACATCCACTAGCTAAGGAGCCAGTTCCACATACGAGGGTGAAATGTGAGTTATCCCAATGAATTCCACTGCTAGTCACCATGAAACAAATTACTTTGAGTATCTAATTTCCAATCATGCATGATTTAATTTGGTGTACTACTTTCACATATGTGGCTATGTGAATACACAGAACAGTATTCAGACTATCTCATTAACTCGATATCTCACAACACGGCCTTATTTGAAAGTGACTTGATAACATCATGCCACCACACTTAGCGGTGTGATCACCTCGGTGAAATGATGATCGCAATCAATGGTAATTTTGTAGTGAATTTTAGAAACCTTATTCTTGATGGATGCTGTTGAGGTAACACTATTTCTTTGTAGTCTTTGAAATTACTGTGAATTTCTCAGATGATAAAAGAGACTTTTTCCTTGTAGGCTAATTCAAACACTGGGTGATACTCTGGAACATTAAGTTTACCTTCTCTATTTTCATTCAGTACATTTGTGCATAAAGTTTTGAAATCCGCCATTAATTTTTAAGGTGATCACAGTTTTAATAAAGATTCATGAAGGTTCTATCAGTGGGAAATAGACAGACATGGAATATCGAACAGTTCATTGCCAATGCGTATCACCCAGGGTTCGAAACCACTACTTTCCGGATACAATGCTAGCTGGCTCGTAGACCATCCAGACACTGGGACGGGATCCTATGACCAATGTATTCTAACTTCTAACAATTCGTCACTCCTTTTAATGCGACTGGCACTAGATGGCGGCGGTGGTGGTTGGTATCTTCATCACCTCCGTCTTCTCAATGTTCACCTGGAGTCCTCTCTCTCTTCACTGCTTCAGAAGTTACACAACTCCATAGGATCTTCCTGCACTACTCATAAAATTTAACGATAATATTTATATATATGACAACTATACTACTTAATTCCACACTAGTAGCTTTATCCAGTGATTCTCCAATCACGTAGATATAATAAAAGAAAAGGCTGCTTGATAGGTTGAATGTGTACCGAACCTTTCGCCATTATCAACACTTAAATGGTTGTTAATATTCACTTCTTCTTTAACATTTTATTCACTCAAAGACGCCACCTGCACTTTTGTTCCCGTGTTTTACTTCTACGAGAAATTGAGTATTCCGTGAGAGCATTCATTCCTTGAATAACTTACTTACTCACTATATACGTCCTAAAACATCATGTTGCATAAATCACATTCAATTATACAGATTAGAATGTTTCTGTGTTAATTCATGTAGCGTTTACAATTTTATTTTTATTTTTAAGACAATATTACTATTTCAATCGTCTTACTTAAATGTGTACAAGCGTTCATTTTACATATCCACTAGGGCATGCTATTTTGACAAAAACTATGGGATAGACAGCTTATTATGGTGTATTGTAGACTAGCGCTAGCCTTCTCTGACTGTCTGACTATCTGTCTGTCTGTTTGGATGTCTGCGTGTGTGTATTTGTGTGTTGATGAAGGCTTGAAAGTAGAATCTGTGCTCAACATGCTCTATATTCAACATATGTCTGGGAATGTCTGTGTGTACCATGAATGCACAACGCACAATGGTAGTAAATGTTATACATAGATATATTTCTTGTCAATAAATGAAATTATGCCTTACTTCGAATGATTCTTGTTAAACGGTTCGTTGGTTGGTTGGTTGGTTATTTTGATATTTGACAGTGTGTGATAGCAGCATGGAATGGTGCATTATACTGAATGCTTTCATCAATTTAAATTCAATTTGTCGTGTTATTTTTAAGCATAGTCTATGCAAAATTTTTGGCTAATCATTTTCAAAGTATATGTATATATACATACATGTATCTTCTTTTAAGCTTACTGTTTATATGTATGCATATAAATCCACTATCATATTGGGGGTAATTTTATCATTCGATAGGCAGTGGTTGCAAAAACTATTGATAATTGAATATAAGTTGAACTCCACATCTGATTCATTCTTGTCTGATGTGTAGCACTGAGTAGAAAATGCAGAGAAAGTCTATTTCACGACGTAGCTGTCTATCTCGTGTCTATTCATCATGAGTACACTGCCGTTTCGTAAGTTGTGTTCGAGTGCAACTGGCCTGAGTTTTTGTGTTTCAGTCACTTCTGACTCTCAAGGTTAACTGATGGATGTTGACTAGTGGTGGATTTCTAAGGCCGAGCATGTCAGGGGGTCCAATCAATCAAGGGAAAACTTCTGAATAATTTAGTTTATTAGGCAATGGTACCCGTTTCATAATAGATAGCTGTGGTGGCACAAGTGGTCTGGTGCATAACCCGATTTGGTGTTTGGTACGATGGCGACTGGTTTTGGGTCTGAGTGAAGTTGGGGCGCGGGGGGGGAACACCATCACTGTCTCACTCACTGGGGAATCCAGGTACGATACATCTACTCGCTGATGAGTCAGTCCCAAACAGGAGGGTTAAATGCGTATCATCATCCCGATGGATTCTCCTACTAGTCACCATTCACTAGTTTGAATCAAGTTAAATAATCAGACATCATCGAAGTGTCCGCGGTTGAAACCGACATATCACCCTGAGACCGACCACGTTGGGGTTCAATGAATCTGTGGGAAAGCTCAAGTTCAGTGAAATGCCTGCTTACTGTTGATATAAAGCAACTACTAATGTTCGACCTCGTAATTTATGACTTGTTGTAATTCACTTGAAAGGATGTATGATTAAGATGTTATGAACTATGAAGTGAAAATGAGTTACATTTGAGGAGTTTTTTCACCACGTTCCCAGTGGAACATAAGGCTTCAAGCTAGTGGCTTGAAGTTTCTGTAGCAGTGGTGTTTAATTTTACAGGATGAGGCTGCTAGCCAGCCTCATGCCTAGCCAACCTTTCCTCTTTACCAGGATTATTTCTGGCTTAGCGAGCGAGGTAAAGGAGTGAGTCGTCCAGTGGCCGGGGATCGAACCCCGGACCATGTGTATGGTTGGCGAGCGTCCTAACCGCTATGCCACCAACGCACCTTATATTCATGCAAGTTCTGCTTATTAATTAATACTCACTAGTAAGGAGGATGGATATATAGCCTTGTAGTGACTCGACGTAATCTAGTGGATAGTGACTAGAAGTAGAATCCATGGGGATAATGCGCATTTTACCCCCTCACCCTGTTTAGAATTGTTTCATCAGCTAGGAGAAGTATCGTACCTGGATTCCCCGGTGAATGAGTCATTGATGGTATTTCTCCCACCCCTACCCCTTAGTGAGGCTCAAACTCAATACTCATCGTCTTATCCAGTAGAAATGTCAACCTGAGATCAAACACTTCAGCTTAATCAATCAACAAGAAATTCCAGACTGAATCCAATAACTTGTAGAGATTCCTTTTGCCTACCTGCACAACTTGAATCGGTACTATTCAATTTTAAGTGAAGCAGTTCTAGCTACTTTTCACCAATATATATTATTAATATAACAACAGTACAGTACTACCATATAACTACACATTTACCCCAGTTGCATGAGTTCTTATTTTGTCTGTTTTTTTTATGCAGCTAACATGCATTTAGGTGAATGATATTCAGCTTATGACAGTGTACTCTTTATTCACTGACTAATTTTTTGATGAATATTTAATTTGACGATGTCATGAGAGAGAGAGATACAACAACTTTATTACAACAAATTCAATGTTTCATATGTTGTGACTGCTTTCATTGCACAATCGGCTTAACTGAACTGACAGAACACACTGTCTTTTACTGCATGAAGTTTTTGAGGTGCATATTACTTTTCATCTTTTTTTTTGTCTTCATTCGATATCATGTTTGTTATTCTAAAAAATCAAAGATAAAACTGAATGGTTCGTTCATCAATTTTTCCGTGTGCTCGTCCAGCTGTTCAAACTATTCATCAAAATGAAAGCTGCATGAAAGACAAAAACTCAAAAACAACAAAATATTTAATTCAGTTTTAGATTTTACCATCGATTGATTGATTGATTGAGTGAGTGAACCAAAGTGCCCGGTGTCAAGCCAAGCTGACATGTCGCCTTCTACTTGTGCAGATGCTTCAATGATGATGTTCTGAGCATGTCATTAGAAGTTAGTTGGTGGATGGTGACTAGCAGTGGAATACAGGATAACGTGTATTTCGTCCTACTTGGGACTCATCAGCTACATGCGCTTGTATTACCCAGTGAGTGGCTTTCATGGCTCAAGTGGTCTAGTGAAACTATAGGCACTAGGTTCTAGTCTCAGTGGGAACATCGTCACTTACTGGGAAATGCAGTAACGTCCAGATAACGAGTCCCGGATAGGACGAAATGCGCGTTATCCGCATGGATTCCACTTCTACTCACCATCCACCCAACTAACCTAAAACAACAAAATAACTTGGAGAAATATTAAAAACTAACCGTCTCATGTGATGTAGGGTACTCTATGTGATTCTGTCCCCAAAACTCTCATCGTGTATCTTAAGAGAGAGAGAGAGAGAGTGAAAAACAAAAAGCATCCATATCTGAGGCATACAAATCATCTGCATAATTTCATTGGCATTTCCTCCTGAGCAATCGTTATTTATCGTTGTTTCTTTGTTCATCATTATTATGATTAATATTATGCTCCTCATTATGTATGTGTGCATTGTTCTCTTCTTTCTATATTTGTATCTCAACTTGTCTTCTTCTTTTTCTAAAATTTGCTTCCACATCTGCCCCTTCTTCGCATTCCATCCATTTATATTTTATATAATTTTTCTCTATCGTTTTCCCTTAAAAACCAGCATGCATTTAGTCGTGTGAATAACACATGATACTACTGTTCATTATTTTGTTGGTTGAATAGTAAACAGTATTGTAATGACAGAAGACAACGGCCAGACAACAGATCATTTATTGAGAAAATCAATAGATATTTATAGATTTTTATGTACATCATTATCAGTGAGGAGGTAACGTTTTCTGATTGGTTGTTTTCTTGCTAAAGGCTATTCTATACTGCTTGTGACCGTTTCTCAGAAAGTTAGGCCACATATCTGCGAATCATATTTGCACACGTTAAGTTTGCTGTGATTGGTTGGTGAATTCTTCTAGGTTAAGCGGCGAAGTTAAACTTTCGACACCACTAACTACCAATCAGCGAATTATCCAATGAGATTCACGAACGATGTCGAATTATCCAATGAGGTTCACGAACGCAGTTCAATGTTGTATAGCGCTTGATTCATTTCTAATGCGTGACCTTACAAGGCTATTGTTGCAATTCGAGGAGGTTAGTGTTTTCCAGTATTTCGTAGATTTGAGTTGCTCCGGAAAGAACGAATTTGATTGTGTGGTGGTATCATGACTTTAAAAAGCTATACCAAATCAACTGATGGGTTTGTATATCGTTGTGCTATATGTTTGAAGCCTACTAACACTAGAGAGGGTACGCTGATAATTTTATTATTTCGTAAGAACTTTTTTCACCAGGTCGCTTCTCTCCCTAAGGATAGCAGATAGAAAAGCAACTACTCTTATACCTATTGTTACCAGAATTGTTAAGCGGGGGTCAATTATACACACGGAAAGGCTACAATTCGCTGTCATCTCTGGGATATATTCATCGTAGAGACAACCATTCAAGTGATTTTGTGGATCCCGTTACGAGGACACATACAAATTCTAATGAAGGATTTTGGGGCAGGTTTGAAAATAGGATAAGGGCTATAAATGTATCTCAAAAGGATCTCATTTATAGTCATTTGGATGAATAAATATACAGGATATGGTGTAACTTCTCCATTGACAGTCCTATGCTAAACTGGGAGATTTTTCTCTCACATGTTTGAGAAAGATATCCCATGTAACCTTTTTTATTATCTATTTTATGCTTTTTTCTATAAATATACATTTCCATTCATCATATATGCCTCTTTAATGTGATTGGTCCGTTCGAGATCGTTTGCTGATTGGTTGTTAGTGGTGTCGAAAGTTTAACTTTGCCGGTTAAGCTTTGTTCTTGTTCTTTTCTCATGACCCTGATTCGGGACGTAACGTTGACGCCAATTGCTGTCTGCAAGCCAGAAATGACAAAAGGCTTAACCTTGAGAAAATCACTAGCCAATCACTGCTGAGTTAACGTGTGGAAATATGATTCGCAGATATGTGGCGTGATATTCTGAGAAACGGTAAGAAACAGATAACAGAATAACCTCTGAGCAAGAAAACAACCAATCAGAAGACGTTGATTTTCAGCTAACAATAATGTACATAAAAATCTATAAATATCTATTGTTTTTCTCAATAAACAATCTGTTGCCTGGCCTACACATTCTTGGAGATTCCCTGATTATCACTCAGCTCATCCACTCATGGTAAAACGAGGGTTAGTTACAAGATCTTGCAACACAGAATACACAGACTTAAAACAATACGAGGTAACCAACGAAAAGAAATAAACGTCTTATTCAAAATGTTACTCGAAAACAACTACCCAAAAGAATTTATCAAAGATAATATTTAAAAAAAAAGAGAAAAAAGAATTTACATCAGAGGCAATTCGAAGAAGACTCAAAAATTCGCACCACATTTAAACCAACAAATCTAATTAAAAATAAAATAAATCAACTGAAAGATCCAATAAAAATGATTGAAATTACAAAATATCTTGTACTGACTGTCCGACTAAATATGTGGGGCAAACACGTTCAGATCAATCAAAATAAGAGTGAATGAACATAAACGCCTAACCAAAGGTCCTTCAACAAGAAGGAACGCAAGCATACAACAATTTAGAAGAAAATTCGCCTATAGCTGAACATGCATGAGACAAAAGCCACAATATTGATTGGAACATTGTTGATATATTTTTAAAACTAATACCAACAAATGGAAAGAGAGATTTAGTTATACAAGTTTGACCACGGATTGATATCAGTTAGAGAACCGCTGAAAACCAGCCGGGGAGTACTGGACAGCTGCTATTTCATCCTAGTTTGGGAATCATCAGAAGTACGCACCCACTGACGTGGTTTGAATCCAAGACCTTCCGTTTACCAGGCAAGCTAGCTGATGTACTACTATTCAGCCACTGGGACCCAACTCCTCAATGGGCCACAGCCCATGAATTCTAACTTCGACCAATTCGTGATTTAGCGCGACCCCAACCAATGCCGTCGGTAGGACATCCATCCTCACACATGGCTGGATGGACCTCACTGGTCACGACTTCTCACTAGAACTGACTCCAGGAAACTCCATCCTTTAGCAAGTCACTCACTAGCGAGAAGCAGCTAAATTTTCAAGAATAGAAAAAATCCCCATTTAAACATTTAGAAAACAAAAAGATTAAGCTAAGAAATATTTACTTTTCAATTAGATCCTCATCTCTGGCTCTACTCTAATATACACGTATAGCATCTCTATTACAATACACAACAGTTTACCGATCAAGTGGCACTGATATGTTTGTTAACAATAATTAGTCAGTGTCAAAATGTCAAGCAGTGGGGGTGATAATTAACGAAGAAAATTAATACACACAATTAAAAGGTAGAAATGGTTAGAATAAATTAATTTTACACGGATACCACGTAAATTAAAGATGAAGTGGTCAAAATAAATAAAGAATAAAATAATTTGGACAAAACCAATACTTGAAAATTATAATTTTTTATATTTTTTCAAAGGTTTATGGGGAGGGGGGCGAAATAGTCCTATTTATGCATTCTTGTAACGATGGCCACTAATCTTAATTTTGCTCTACGAGTTCTTCTTCTACAGACGGCTGAAGCAATCGGAATTCCCCTGAAGAAGACAAGTCTATGTGTACAGAAGAAATTTGTACAGCCACTTTCCCTACCATGGCCATCGTCACAAGAATGCATAAACAGGACTACTTCGCTGCCCTACCCCTAAACCTTTAAAAACTATAAAAAATTATAATTGTCCAAATTAATTTATTTTTTATTAATTTTGACCACTTCATCTTTAATTTACGTGTTATCCGTGTAAAATTAATTTATTCTAACCATTTCAACCTTTTAATTGTGTGTATTAATTTTCTTCGTAAATTATCAACCCATTGACATGTTGTTTTTCTTCACGTTCCCAGTGGAACATCAGACTTCAAGCTAGTGGCTTGAAGTTTCTGTAGCAGTGGTGTTTAATTTTACAGGATGAGGTTGCTAGCCAGCCTCATGCCTAGCCAACCTTTCCTCTTTACCAGGATTATTTCTGGCTTAACGAGCGAGATAAAGGAGTGAGTCGTCCAGTGGCCGGGGATCGAACCCCGGACCATGTGTATGGTCGGTGAGCGTCCTAACCGCTGTGCCACCAACGCTATTGACATGTTGACACTGACTAATTATTATTAACAAACTTATAGCCACTTGATTGGCAAACTGTTGTGTATTGTAATAAAAATGTTGTATACGTGTATATTAGAGTAGAGGCAGAGTGAGATGCGGATCTAATTGAAAAGTAAATATTTCTTCGTTCAATCTTTCTGTTTTCTAAATTTTCAAGAGTTTAGTTTGTAAGGATTAGATATGCTTATAACAGAATGTACTGTTCATTAAGGTCACAACGGATACATGGAACAAGGGTGACTCAGCTGCACAAGTGTTAACAACCTGAAGTATAATTCTAAATACACAAAATTGAATAAACAAAATATAGAACTATTATGTATATGAGTAGAAATCATAAATACGTGAATGAAAAACAAAACAATTCCAATAGCAGTTGGTGTGTGTGATCACGGGCAGTAGTAATTTTGCCCGAAATATTACCAATAACAAAAACTTACCATTGTGTGTAAACCATTGAAATATAATTATACTTTTATTTGACCTTTTTCACAATGCTCAAACTTTTTTTACTGACATTAATTATTCATATTGTTGCGTGTTATTGGTTTATTTAATATTGAACAAAGGTAACCAAGCAACCGGCCAATCAAACACACTCACACATGGATGGATCTGCGATAGTTCTGTGTGTGTGTGTGTGGCTTTTTCTATTCGCTTTCACAACTGCTTTATTTGTTTAATTCACTTTTAGATTTTCCCATCGATTGATTCATTGATTGATTGATTGGACCAAAGTTCTCGGTCTCAGATTGTGACATGTCGTCTTCTCTTTATGCAGATGCTTTGATGATGATGATGTCTGGGCATGTAATTAGAAGTCAATTATTAGTGGATTTTGACTAGCAGTGGCGCGTTTGAAACTATGGGTACTAGGTTCGAGCCTTGGGGGCGGGGAACATCATCACTGACTTACTGCGGAATGCAGGTACATCCAGATGACGAGTCACAAAATGGGACGAAATGCGAGTCCTGGATTCCACTGCTAGTCATCATCCACCAATTCGCTTCTTCAGAAGAAAATATTTAGAGCGAACAATTGTGGTGCCAATAAATTCTCCCTTCTTCAGGCTCTATATTTATAAATCCATTAATTTAAGCATACAATAGCCATCCAGCTAGCCAGTAAAGGCAAATTAGAATCATATCAGAAATGTGTATTGTGGAACAAGTATAAGATGAGACGGGATGGAACAATAGTCAGTTAGTTTTTAATATAGATGGTCAATGTGATAAGATGAGATGAAATAATTTAATGATGTGTGTGTACATATATAAATACAGTCAACAGAAAATTCAGGTTTCAAGAGTGAGTGTAATCCGGATGTGTGAGACAATATGAAATTAAACCAACGAATAGGGCGGTCTAGACATAAGTTCACGGTTGAAAATAACAACAATAAGAATGATTGTCAAATAATAGTAATAATAATGAATATAATGAAGTGGAATGAACAGGATTTTGTAAATACGATAACAAGTTAGAAAAGCACTACTTAAACCTAAGGTAATAAAATCATGAGAAAGGTCATGAGATCATGAAAGTCGAAAATGAACGTTTGTCAATGAAACAGAGGAATAGAAGAAGGAAAAGAAAAGAAAATCGCGAAAGGAATTTATAGTGTTAATGGAGGATTTGTTGGCTTTATTGTAGGCCAAGGTAAACATAGAGGTTGAACATACTTCTTCTGTATGCAGAGGGATGGTCTTCTGGTATTAATTACAACCGCTTCAGCTACTGTGATAGAAGATGTAGTCGAGCTCCTCTAGATAAATTACTAGGAACGCGGTAAATAACTGAGAACGCCTGGTCAAGTTTTATTGGGTGTCCAATATGTACCAAGTGGGCTAAGACTGCCCTATTTATGCATTTGGTTACTCCATTATCCAACCATACAGGTACATGTTCACGTGCGCGCATGGATAAAGCCCTCTGAGTTCAGTCAATGGAACTAGTTCCATATGAGCAGTTGAATTCGTAGATGCACATTGATGAGGCCATCTTTGGTAATTTATCCTTGACTTGCTGTGTCAGTACTGGTTTAGTTCTCATTGACTAAGCATATTAAAAAACTAACTGACTATTGTTCCATCCCGTCTCATCTTATACTTGTGCCACAATACACATTTCTGATATGATTCTAATTTGCCTTTACTGCCTAGCTGGATGGCTATTGTATGCTTAAATTAATGGATTTGTAATTGTAGAGCCTGAAGAAGGAAGAATTTATTGGCACCACAATTGTTCACTGTAAATATTTTCTTCTGAAATTTAAAACAATTAATCCCTTTTATAAATTTTGATGGCGTTATTAGAAGACGGAGATTATCTGAAAAGGTATGTGATGTAGTAGCGCTATACATTTCGAACAATCTGATCCCTCACACATTTACTTGTCAAGTCAATATATATATATATATATATATATATATATATATTTATATAGAAAGGTTAAATTAAACAAATTGAGAGAAAAAGGAATTAAGAATAATTAACACAAACTTTTGGTAATCCAATCAAATAAGGATTACCAAGGTAGGTGGGTTAAGAGCAATAACAAACTGTTGTTGAATACACAGGGGGGGGGGGGCTTAAGTTTATGAATAGATATAGCCTCGGCGTATTTCAGTGAACGCCTTTGACCGTTTTTATAGATGGCCTTAAAGGCTGAGTTAACATCAATCTTATGGTTCATCTCGTTTAGACGTTTAGCTATAGACGAAGTTTGTAGTCTGACACCTACATCTATTGGCTTGTCACAATTCATTTGTTTTTCTAACCATTTTGGGATATGCTCTCCCACCCTCTCATATGCAAAGCGCAATTACTCCTCCCTATGTATGTATGTCCACACACACACACGAAAATTGGTAAATTGTGTGGCATGTGATATAACCACTTGTGCACATTTGAGGTTTGCACTGAAGCATATTTTTAGCTTTTTCTACAATTACAAGCTGGGCTGCATAGTAATAGGTTCTACGAATGATTGGATTCAACATTTGTCTCACAATCCTACTGTTTATTTCCCTGTTATATGTGGTAATTTGATGAAAACCTTTTCCTTAGGGAAGGAATGGATTGTAGGTTTAGAAACTGATTGACTTCTACAACCGTTTAAAAAATTTTAAAGGATATCCGTTTTCAACAAACAAGAGTATCCATTAATATTTCATTTTCTTTGTCTATAACATCAGCTGTGCAAAATACGCTAAATTCTCTTAAAAATAGACACTTCACCAAGCCTCTCTTATACTGTAAAGGACAGAAGCTGTGAAATGTATAGCACTAATACATCACATACCTTTTCAGATAATCTCCGTCTGAATAAATTATGGGAATATTCAACACTTACTGAATTCACTTCTTCGTCTTTATTTGTGTTTTAGACAAAAATAAGTGAGAAATCATCATTTATTAGTTAGTAGTAGTTGTAGTTGTAGTACTGTGGTATTGTAATATTTCCAAATATAAAATAATTACCACTTATTGTACGTATGTATTTATATATACGTATACATATATTTCTAGGTGAATCATGCGACTACACGAGTTCTAACCAAGAAACGAAATGACACAGTTTCAACCACTGGTGGCAGCGTTGGTGGTGGTGGTGGGAATAAAGGTAATTCCTTTTTTTCCTTTGTCTTTTCTACGGAAATAAGATGAGTTCATGCCTTATTCTTTTCTCTTGTCTTCATTATTCATCTGATTGTTACATTCTGTTGGATTCCTTTTGTGTTCCAAGTGGTGGAACAAGGTGAGGCTTGAAGCTTGAGCTTTGAAGTTTCTTAGTGGCAGTGCTGTTTTATTTTTACAGGGTAAGGTTACTAGGACTGGAAATCGAACCCAAGAGGACATGCATGGCAGGCTAGCACCCAACCGCTGAGCCACCGACGAACACCATTGTTACTGGGACATTTCAGCTTTTTTTGAAATCCACACTGTCTGTGTAGATGTTGTCTTCTAGGAAATTTACAACGTAACTACTATCTGATGATATCAGATGGTTGGAGACTATCGGTAGGAAGTTTCGGACTTAGGTTTCGTATTAATTGGCGCCCACCTATCAAGCAATGTGTATCTCCAACCCTGAAGGAACTCATGTCCCTCGTGAGATTCATGTCCAAGTTACCCAGTGATTGCTGTAGTCAGTCAGAGACAGTACCACCTTTTGTAGGACTGCAGTAGATAGTTTAAGTGGATACTAGTAACTAGTGTGATGTATCTATTCCTTCAAGGTGGTTGCAGATACGCCTTGTTGGCTGACTGGTAAGTGCCAACTAGCACGAAACTACCTAAGTCCAAAGCTTTTTGTGGCCAATTGCTTCCAACCATCTAATATCATCAAATCAATGTGTAGCGTGATGGCGAGCCACCTAGTAGTGGCATGGTGGCCACATTGCTAACTTGACTGATAGAATTCAGTCTGCACGAAACATTTTTTTTTTTTTTGAGATTTGGCCAATTTGCCGGGACGCGTGCACCCCCACATAGGAGGGCTAGACACACATTACACTAGTTCCTAGTGTCCAATCCAAGTAACTACTGTCTGCTGAACAACTTTTCACTAGTATACACTTACGTAACACCCGATTCAGGTGTGTAAAATCCTGAACACAGAGTTTGTCAAAGATACTTTCCTATATCATTAATGAATAACAGAATGTGAATGACAAGGTAGGAACATTGAATTGGTGCTTGTCTAGCCGCCTAACTGACATCGAAAACACTTTCAAGAAGATTCGTCCTCAGAATGATTCATGATCAAAAAGTGAAGAACGCGCGTATACACAGAGCAAAAGAAAAATAGTTTGTGAGAAAGAGTGTTTGTGTGTGTGTGTGGAATTGATAGCAAACATATATTATTTAATTACAGGATGTGAACTATAACAGAAATTAAAACAAAATTAAATGAGTCAATTGGGTGACGTAATATGTAATTGACGCGGTTGATTAGCATTCAACCAGAGTCAAATTAACAACAGTGTCAGCAATAAGGGGTAGAAATTTAACAGAAAGGTGAGGGAACAAAATAACACAATTAAGATTTTCTATAGTTTGGTTTGTAAGGGTTAGTTATGTTTTCACGAGTTGATCACGGATTGATATCAGTTAGAGAAGCATTGAAAACCAGCCAGGGCGTACTGGACAGCTGCTGTTTCGTCTCATGTCTGTCTCATTCTGTAGATGGATCGATTTTGTGTTCCATCTTGTCCACATCTTGTTAACTGAACGTCCGGAAAAGATTTTATTCGGACTTCTTCTCTAATGTGAAATGGATCGAATGATGGCAGTAGTTGAAAAAATTCAGGACGTCTTCCAAATTCTCTTCCTTATTAAAGATAGTGGAAGCCTTATCCACGTGTTTCTTGTAAAATCTGAAGCTATCAGTCATTTTCTTCATGTATGTGTTTTCTACTAGTTTTGATATGAAAAAGTCTGCGAGAAACGGGTCCTGGTGTGAGCCCAGTAGCCATACCGTCTTTTTGTCACCATATTTAATTATTACATTTCCACATTACGTAATTCGATATCTAAAATTACTTCTGATACTAAGGAAATTTACCATGTATGAGCGATTGTAAAGCTTGAGAATGATTTCGACGAAAAGAGTAACTCTTCGCTAAACGCCTTTTTTTTATATCAACATATAACTTGTGAATCCATAAGATAGCTTCTTTATAATTAGGACTCTAACAAAAATAAGTCGGCGCCTGAAGTATACTCTACACATAACTTTCAAAGAAGCGTAGTAATAAGTTCTTCCTCTCTAGAGAAGCGAATTCTATGGGTGGTGCAATTGGCCAGTTATTTCTGTGACTTTTCACACTACTTATAAGTAGATTGAGTTTAATGTCATCAATTTCTGTGCGTTATAGGTGTAGCCACCCTAAATCATTGTAGCACCTAATATTTCACAGAGTGTAATGAGTCACATTTAATCATCTGCTTGCGTGAAGAGCAATCTGTACTCAGGCGTATTTTAGAATGACGCTCAGGATGTCGCTTGGTCCGTTTAGTAAGGAAAAATTGATATGATATGAGCAATAGTTTGTTCTCGAAACCTCATCAACTAATATTACTGTACAACACATGTGTGAATTATCAAAATAAAACCTTATGCATAATGGAGTTATAGATATGATAGAGAAGATTTCTAGCTCAGGTGAATGATTTTGATGTAGTTGTGTCCTCTGAGCTGGATAGTTAATTTGCGAAGCTTTCATTGCCCCAACACTAGGCGACATCTTCAGGCTCATACTTCAATTTACTGAAGTGAGCTTTTAAATTTCTCCACCAGTTTATTAATCATCTCTCCTGGTTGGTGACCTTGGACATGACTCTTTGGTTGTTTCTGTGTGTTTTCACACCTTCTAGGTTACTTGTATTGGAACTGATTGTTTCCTTGACCTGAAGTTTAGGTTTCTGTGCATGAGATATCCTTCTTATTTATTGTTGAGTTTTGTCTATCTCAATGTTTCTATTGATTGATGATTCACTGGAATACCAGGCAGACTTCTAAAAATTCTCTAGCATTCTTGGCGCTTCCTCTGTTTAATATTTGAACGTTGGTTGTCCCAGTCGAATTGATGTCCGTGGTTGTCTGTGTGTGGTGATTAGATGGACATCATGACATCCACTCCCTCATATCTCCTCACTGCATACAGACAACAACGGACATCATTTCGACTGGGACAACGAACGTTCAAATATTAGACACAGGAAACACCAAGAATGCTAGAGAATTTTTAGAAGTCTGCCTGGTATTCCAGTGAATCATCAATCAATAGAAACATTGAGATAGACAAAATTTATCAACCGATAAGAAGAAGGAAATCTCAAACACAAAGGATCAAAGTTCAAGTCAAAGAAACAATCAGTTCCAATACAAGTAACCTAGAAGATGTGGAAACATACAAAACAACCAAAGAGTCACGTCCAAGGTCACCAACCAGGAGAGATGATTAATAAACTCGTGGAGAAATCTAAAAGCTCACTTCAGTAAATTGAAGTATGCACCTGAAGATGTCGCCTAGTGTTGGGGCAATGAAAGCTTCGCAAATTAACTATGCAGCTCAGAGAACACAACCACATCAAAATAATGGAGTTAGACTCTACCAAAGTGCCAAAGTTTTATAGTAATATATCAGAATACGTTAGGGGTTAGGAGCATGTTCTAGATAGAAAAGAAATTCCGTCTTTACTTGAAGTATTCTCCTTAAGGAGTAGTCAAAACACGCTGAAAGTTATATAGTGTACATAAATATGTTCAGAATAAAGCCACTATTATTTCTATCGAAGTTTAAAAATACATTTTCGTTAATTTTTAGTTCATCACTTTAGTAATCAAAATATGGTGTTGCAGTCTGGTCCTAGCGGGACTGGTACACTCGTCTCCCGATCAAGACAAACTGGAACAACATCAGGAAATAGCAGTAGCATTGTTGCTGCGGCGATATCAGCCGCTGCAGCTGCAGCTGCAATGTCAGGTGCTGGAGTTGTCAATAGTCCACTAAATGGTTTACATAATTTTTCTGGCTTACATTCATCAAATAGCTATCCAGGCAACAATTTACTTTTTGCTCAGAATAATATGGTATCTCTAGGGAATTCAATCAATACATCTGTAGCTGGTTCATTAGCATCGGTTGCAGCGTTGTCTACACCAGCGTCTACACCAACAGCTGCAAATATAGCCAGTTATCTGAAAGCTCAACAACAACACCAACAGCAACAAAGTTTAGTAGGAGCTGCTACGACTGTTGCCTTACAACAGCAACACCAACAACACAACCCATTGTGCAATACAAATGATCCAAATGCTCAAGCTATTCTTGCTGCATTAACACTTCAAAATTTCAATGTTTCTAATCCATTAATTACATCCCAGCTATTAAAACAACCTTTAAGTGGTCTGTAAGTTATTTTAAAATACACAGTTAATCTTTTTTTATCGCATTATTTTATCGATTAAAAATAGCCTTTAGAAATTTCAAAAGATTGAATTTAGATAAAGCGATAAGAAGACGTAATTTGCCTGAATCGTGTAATGTTGTATTTGCGCAACACATTTCACACAATCTGATCACACACACTGACTTGTCATAGGAAGGTGTTTATATGAAATTAATAAAGAGTTAAGAGGTGAGAAAATAGACTACTTAAGTCAAGTTAAAAGGATATAGTGAAGGTGAAAATAACAATGAAGATGAATGACTAACCAAAATAACAGAGGTAATAGTGTAACAAGGGCCAGGCAACAGGTCATTTATTTACGAAATCAACACGTATTTATACATTTTCATGTACATTATTATATCTTATTCAAGCAGACAAACACACTCTTCTGATTGGTTGTTTCTCACAGAAAGTTCACCTTGCATCTCTTTGTGGCTGTTTCTTGAATGTCAACTGTATCTGCCTACGCAAAGTCTGCTGTGATTGGCTGTTGAATCAGTCTTGTCCATATTTTCTCACAACAAATATTAGCAACATAACTATTGACGTAAATTAATGTCTACCAATTTGGCTAGCAGCAGCCTGCTCTCACCACAATAATACATCTGCTATGGTATGAAAACAAAGTTTACCAACAAGGAAGGTTCAGTGGGATGACGAATGAGAATTTACTGTGACTCGGCGCTCAAATTATTCCCGAAACTACTCGTAACATCTACGCTCTGAAAATTTATATGACTTTGTGTCACTGTTTTTTTTAAAAAGAAATATATACACCCTTTTTTATGTCTTAAAACATCCTATTCAATTTCTATTTTATAATTTTAGTTCATTCCCATTGGATAATGTGATTTCAAATCTCCCGCTACAAACACAAACTCATTCACATCAACAACAACAACAACAGCAGCAAACACAAACAAGTCTATTCAATAGTAATAATAACAATAATCATAATAATAGTATGAGTACTGCTGGTACCACCAATCTAATGAATACAAGTAATAATGGTGGTATTAATCCATTTGCTTTAAATGCTGCCACTGCCGCTGCCGTGGCTGCTGCTGCTGCTACCAATCCAAATATTGGCACTGATTTACTACTGAATTCCCAGCCGGGTAGAGCTTATCAGCTGTTGAAACCAACATTTACTAATCTAAATCCACTGGGATCAAATAATCTTACTGTAAGTTTTTATTATTATTATTTTTGAATGGGCCAAGTTAAACTTTAAGCACCAGTGTAAATGCCAATGGAGTGAGACTGTCCCAGTGACCTTGAAACACTTTGTTTGAGTTTGAGATAGATTCAGTTTAGGCTAAGGATAGGTTAGGGTTGGTTCGAGTTAAGGTTAGGGTTATTATATTATTATTATTATAATTGTTCCCTTTAATTCCGCACGTCTCCACTGCTTTAGGTTCCACATCTGCCCACATGCTTTCATCTCCTCTTCACATGACCTCCTCCATGTCTGCCTCGCACTGACCACCAACTCACAGTTTCCCATTCGACTTTCACTCGAGCAATGGCCTGGCGTGTCATGTCACTTGATGGTGGTTTGTTTTTTCAGGGTATGGCCAATCCATCTACATTCCTTCCTGTATATTTGTTACCTAATAGGTTCCTGATGCGTTGGTTTGCTCACAGAGATGCCTCCCTGTTGCTGATCTTTTCTGACCGGCCATCTGATCTTCAGCATTGAGCGAAGACAGTTGTTGATGAAAGTGGGTAGTCTGTTCGAAATGCCTTTCATGAGGCGTCAAATCTCTGATCCGCATAGTAAGTAGCCCTGACTTCACATTGGAGTTGAAAATCCGGATCTTATTTTTGATACTGAGTGGGGCTGTTGACCTCTACACAGACTTGACGTGAGTAATGAAAGCTTGCCTTGATTTCCCGATCCTCGCTCCTTTGATATCCTCGTCAGTTCCATCCTCCTGTAGTTGAAAGGATGCTTCCTAGGTGGGTGGGTAGGTAAAGGAGGTTGCTTCTTTCAAATTGCTGTTACTGTTGGCCAGGAATCTTCATCACCTCCCTCTGTTTTCTCTATGTTCACCTGAAGTCCTATCTTCTCTTGATGCTTCTTCTGCCAACTTGTTGTTTTTCACTTGCATATCTTCCAGTTTGTGGGAAATCAGGAGTTGGGGCTAGTTTAGGGATATTTTCACGTTAGAGTTAAGTTAAGGAAAGATAAAGTTTATTGTTAGGGCTAGAAGACTAGATAATTAAATGAACAGAATGTCGTTGAACAATTCCGTTGATATTCCAGTCCAAAACTGAGAGGTATTTTTGTTACACGTCAGAGAAAGTGAAACACTTTCATGAATACATGTACTTTCTACGTGGAAACCGCCATTATCATTTGGTTGGTGAGTTCAAGGTGGTCGTTTAGTCCATTGGTACTTACTGGTACTTAAAGTTTAACTTTGCCTTTTATTAACGAATTCGTTTTCTGTTTTGGATAATAGTCAGTGTGTTTTGGTGTGCTCTAGGCTAAATGGTTTAATCATGAAGGTTCGAACATCTTAGGTGTGTTAGCTTCTCATTGTCAAGTATATCTTTTGAAATTCTCTCTGAATGGTAGATAGAATTGTCTTTCCTCAGGGTCATTCACTGTGATTCGTGGTATTCAGATGTGTTTCTTATCTTTCTTTGTGTTGATGTACATGAGTAAGTACAAATACGATTCTCAGATAAATATGGCTTAACTTTCTGAGAAACGGTCACGAGCACTACAGAATAACTTTCGCCAAGAGAACAACCAATCGAAGACGTCGCTTCTCTGCTAGCAATAACGCTAATAATAATGTACATAAAAATCTATAAATATCTGTTGTTTAAGTGTTGGTTTGTAGGGATTTGATTGTTTAACAGGATTTCATCATGGGCTGAAATTAGTCAGAGAACCATTGGAAAACCTGCACCGGAGTACTGGACGGTTGTTTCGTCAGCCTAGTTTGGGACTCTTCAGCAGTACGCACCCGCCGGGATTCGAACCCAGGACTTCTGGTTACAAGTTCACTAGCGACTTGCCCCATTCAGGTTCTAGTGAGAAGCCGTGGCCAGTAGGGTGCAGCAGGTCGGATTGAGGACAAATACTCGCCGAAGACATTGACTAGGGGTCGCGCTATGTCGTGAATTGGCAGAAGTTAGAATCCATGGGCCATTGGGTTGGGTCCCACTGGCTTAATGGTATACGAGCTCGTCTTGTAACCAGAATGTCATGGGTTCGAACCCTGGTGGTTGGTGCGTACTGCTAAAAAGTCCCAAACTAGGCTGACGAAACATCTGTCCAGTACTCCCTGCAGGTTTTCCAGTGGTTCTCTAACTAATGTCAGCTAACGATGAAATCCTGTTAAATATCTATTGATTTTGTTAATAAATGATCTATTGCTTGGCCCTTGTCTTCTGTCGTTATAGGATTATTTTCTTTGGTCGAGATATCTAGAACCACTTTTTCACTTACAAACTGTTTTTTATCTCTCTCTCTCTCTTTCTCTAGTCCCTTAACACCTCACTTGTAGGATCAAATTTAAATCTTTCATCTGCTGCTCAACTTGGTCTACCATTAATGACTAATACGAATGTACAAAATTTGAATCTTCTCACAGCAGCGTCATCAGCAGCAGCACAAACATCATCTTCGTCACCATCAACATCGATTGCATCGTCTATTCATCAAACAGCTACAAATTTTGATTTGAATTCAAATGAAGCTAAACTATGGTTGGCAACTTTATTTGGAGGCAACAGTGTTGGCGTTAATCAGTCGGATCTTAGAATGTTGAATAACAGTCCAAATAATAATAATAATAATCAAATTTATCAAATGTACAAGTCGAATAATAATTTGAATGATAGCACCAATGCTTTGTTGAAAACGAATTCTGTATCAAAAACTAATCAGGCAAAAATGAATATTACGGTACAACAAATCCATAATATCTCTAATAATGCTACTACCAATAATAATAATAACAATAATAGTAATAACCATAATACAAGTGGGAATGGTAATAAAACTAATGAACATACTTTAACGTAAGTTATCAGTTTTAGTTTTAGGTTAAATTGCATTTTTTTTTTAACAAAGTGAAATGGTTTGCCTTTAGTGAGCTACCCTTGACCGCCAACTTATTTTTCAAAAGAATGGATACTGAACAAAGAGTACTCTTTTCGATAACCCCTTCTTCATCAGGCTCTACAGTTATGTATACACATTATAGTGAATGAATGAATTAGAGTTATGAACGACGTTAATGTTTAAATAACATCGAATCAATCAATAATATTGATAGATTACAGCTGAATAGCATCAACATAAAATAAGCTGAATGTCAGAAAAATTAGGAAAGATAATATTACGAATTCATGAATTTCTAGTTTCTATTGAAGGCCAGTCAGGGCAGTAGTAGAGGGCGGGACTTGCTTCTTCTGAACACAGAGCACTGGTTGTTTGAGATGAATTGCAAAAGCCTCTGCTGTTTGCAACATGTGGTGCTTTGATGATTTTGGCAATTTATTAGGCACCCGGTAGATTAAACAGAAGGATTCTTCCACACTGACTTTGTGGCTAGTCTAGGTACTTCATCTTTCAGTCAAGGAAGCACCATCGGTCGTGTAGAGAATAAGACGTGTAGTTCACCAGCATTAAAAGTTATTTGAACCGATTTTCTTAATTTCCTCGTAATTATCTCCCTTGGTATATCGCCCTTCAATTGTAGTCGTATATAAAGAGGCTTCTTATTAACAGATAGTGAGTAGTCATTTTCAGCTTTCTTTATCATGTGTTTCTTGATAAATTTGTCGGGAAAGCCATTTTCGATGAAAGTATCATATACAATGCTTAATTCATATTCAATTACTTCTTCTGAGCATATAGCTGTAACTCTGTGGCTGAGGATCTTCACTAAATTTCTTTTGTACTTGATGGGAACGAAGCTGTGCAAATTGTGTATTCTCCTGTCCAAGTACTTATTTTTCTACTGGTGTTCGATGAATATCGATTTCCGATTTGACGGAATCGTTGTTTCATCAGGTGAACAAAGTCTGTTGAAATACAAATTATAAAGTGGAAAGTTGTGACCAGTGAGATCCATCAAGAGTTGGTTGCGTGTGAGGATAAATACGTACCGATGACAGTGTCTGGCAGTTGCGCGATATCGCGAATCGACAGAAGTTGATGGGACTATTGGGTTCTCGGTTAGTGACTGAATAGCCTACAAACTCGCCTTATAACCTAGAGATCTGGGATTCGATCTCCGATGCTGAAGAGTCCTAGACAAAGACGAAACAGTTATCCATTACTTTAGTGCTGGTTTACAATAGCTCGCCCAACTGAATTCCCTTTGTGACTATTGCTCAAATCTATCAAATCAGTGTAAAATATAAACTGTAGAGTATCTTTTTGGTTTGTCTCTGTTGTGTACACAGAATTCTTACCGGCTTTTTGTTTTTGCTTAGAGGACATATTGTTTGTTTTATACGTTGTGCCAGCATAGCAAACTCTTTGACATAAGTACTATAAGTTTCCAAACCGTAAATGTTATGAATACTTCTGGGAATAATTTAAGCACTGAGTCAGGTTGAGTCATTATAAATTATTTAAAATAACCTTAGAGTGTTAAAAAGAAGAAAGTCAAAATATGATTTTCTTTGTGAACGTTTTGCTGTGTAAGTCACAGCTTCTTCAGCAGAACTATTCGGATTTTATTAACCGTCAAAATATGCAGTGAGAAAAAATTACACAGATTGAAATGAGTTCCTTTGAAGGTCATTTGTCAGTAGACATTTGTACCAATAGAGGAATGTATAAAGATTCAGCACATATTATAACAGATAATGATGATGATGATATGGAGAACAAGATCTCCAATATAAAACAAATTTTCATTGGAAATGGTTATCCATAAAAGCTGAAAGATGAAGTACCTAGACTAGCCACTTCAAATTGTATCTACCAATTCAAGCGGGTTTGTGATTGAGCGAGTTATATCGGCCGTTGCTCTAGGAACTTAATTTTTCATGCTCGCTCGAGAACATCTTGCACTATGGCTAAGTGAAGGTGTAGTTTAAAACCATTAACAGTTCGATATTGGACCATCTGGTGCAAACTGGCCACAAAGCCAGCCAGCGTAGAAGAATCCTTCTCTATAATCTATTGGGTGCCTAATAAATTGCCAAAATCATCGAAGCACCACGTGCTCCAAACAGCAGAGGCTATTGCAATTCGCGGGGAACAGTCAGTGCTTTGTGTTCAAAAGAAGCGAGTCCAGCCCCTACTACTGCCCTGGCTATCCTTCAGTAGAGACTATAAATTCATGAATTTGCAATATTATCCTTCGTAATTTTTATGACATTCAGTTTATTGTTATGTTGATGCTATTCAGCTGTAATCCATCAATATTATTGATTGATTCGATGTTATTTAAACAACATTAATGTTGTTTTTCATAACACTAATTCATTCATTCAATCACTATAATGTATATATATATATATATATATATATATATATATATATATATATATATAACTGTAGAGCCTGATGAAGAAGGGGTTATCGAAAAGATTACTCTTTGTTCAGTGCCTATTCTTTATAAAATTTTAATGAGCATTTTTAATCAATTAAAAAAATGACCGATGGTAGCCATTCCATATCGAAAGTAGACAGCTGAAGAACTTCAAAGAATATTCTTGCTTCATATAATATTAAAATCTATTTCAAACCCAATAATTCTTTAAAGAAAGCTTTGATGAGTGAGTGTCAAAGATATGGTTCCCAAAATGACAAAAAAAACAACAACTGTGTGTATAGGATAAAGTGTTCCCAATGTGGAGTTCGCTACTCAGGGGAGAGCAGTAGATAGCTGAAGGTCAGAGTGAATGAATACAGAGTGTGCTCACGAAACGTCCACCTAGAAATGATGAAGTAGAATTAAAAGGTCTAGAAGAAAGATCAGCTATAGCAATACATGCTATAGATAGTGGAAATGAGATTGATTTGGACAATGTCGAAATTGTAGGAAGAGGTTTTCCTTAAACACATGAAGGAAGGTTGACCTCTGAAGCCAGCCCTGCATGTTTTAACCACATCGAATATGGTAAATCCGATTAAGAAAAGATAGATTTATTACCCATGCGGTAAACTCTAATGAAACAAGACAAATGAAAAAAAAAAATAAAAACCTCTATAAACCTCTGTGAACTCTATAAAAATATTATCATGTTTATCACATATAAATCGACTACTTTTCCATATGGCAAATAACATACACTCACACACATACACATTACCACTTTGATATTAGTCATTAGCCTACATTTTATGTTGTAATTTTTTGTAATCGTAGTATTAGTATTTCGAGATGACCGAATTACAAGAATCCAACCAAAACACAGAGAGGGCGGAATTCAGGAATTTTGTATTTAGCGGAACTATTATTCAATTCATATAAGAAATATATTAACAATCAACAGTAAGTGTTTAAACAATACAGAGGTAGAAAGTGTCAATCACCACATTTTCCTACTGATACAGATTTACATCGACAAGTGACTTTCAAGGGAACTGACTTCAATTTATGTAATTTTTCCTGGGATTATATAATTCAGTTTTTGATTATCCCATCGATCGACTGGACTGAAGTGCTTGGTCTCTCAGGTTGACGTGTCAGCTTCTTATGCAGATGCTTCGATGATGATGTCTGGCCATGTTTCTAGAAGTAAATTGGTGGATAGTGACTAGCAGTGGGATCCACGACAAAGTGCGTTTCGTCCTATTTGGGACTCGTCGGCTGGATGCATCCGCCTTCCCCAGTGAGTGATCTACGACTAAATTAAATAACTAATATGACCTGTTGTACAAGATGTGGCTGCCGTGGCCCAAGTGGTCTAGTGGATAACGCTTCGGCGTTTGAATCTATGGACACTGGATTTGAGCCTTGGTGGGAAGGCCATGAATGACTCACTGAGGAATGTAAGTACATCGGATGACAAGTCCCGAATAGGACGAAATGCGAGCTATCCCGATGGAATCCACTGCTAGTCACCATACACCAAATGACGATGGGATTCTTTTAAATAATTTTATGATGATTCTTTGACAAGTAGCCTACAACACATGAAACAGTTGTTCAGTGTCATTGAATTTCAAGTATTTGTAGTTCACACTGTACCCTTGAACTTTTGTTTAAACTCTCTCACCCATCGTTTGGCCCACCTTTATCTTTTGAGTTGTGACTCTTCCTTACGCTCGTTGGTTTGCTCTCTCGTTGTGCATTCATTCAGCACACTCCGAGCCTACCGCCAGTGACGTCAGCAGATAAGTTGTACAACCTCTTTGTTTATCAAATTTCATATTTCATTTGTGTAAAATATAACTGTCCCAGATACACTTGTCATTTCAAGTCTTTTTACCCTGATTCTGTTCGTCAGTATTTGCACGTTAAGCAGAGTACAGCTAAGGTCATAAAACGGTGAAGAAGTTTTGTAAGAGTGTTTAAAATTGAGGTCTACCCTAAGCCGTAATAACTCCTACATATTCACCATTTTATATTATTAAAAGAAACATTAAATAATATTTGATTTTTTTTGTTTGACATATTTTTTTTCTTTTAAAGGCAAAATCAGTCGAATATTAACACGTCTAAAAGTGGTGTCCTTTTAACCCACAGTACAAATACTCAAGATATGAATAGTTTAACAAATGCTGCTGCTATGGCTGCAGCAGCATGTTGTATAAATCCCCTGAGCTTTGGAATTAATCCTCTAGCCTCCCTATCATCATACACGCCTAATTCATCGTATATAAATGGAACAGGATTACTTACTGATCTATTCAGTGGTACACCAGCACAACAAACAACTCTTTCAGCTAACACACTAGTGTCTGATATGAACTCGACAAATACAAATTATTTGTCGAATTTTTGGCCAATAATACCACCATCAGTTTCTGGTCTGTCTTTGCCTACACCCAGCTATGCATCTCCGTTAATTATTGGAAATCAAACATTATGTCGTCAAAATACAAGTATACCGCGTTTCTCTACTTACTAACTACATGTATTTATGTGGTGTACGTTCCCTTAACCAAAACTATACTTTATACAATCAATTTATCTTATCTTGACTATATTTTCCATTTCCTTTGTTGTATATATATAATCAATATAATAGCAAAGTCAAACTACCGCCATAGCTAAAACCATAGCGACATGAGACGACCAATCAGAATTCAAATGAAAAAAGTCAAGTAATCATTGGCAGATACATTACCAAGACATTGTAAGCATGGCATCGCATTGTATATTTGTTGTTTATGTTTTGTAAAAATATCATCTTCTATTCACTACACGGGTGATCTAACTCTGACCTTAAATCCAACCTTAATCTTAAAAGTCAGGCAGATATGATTTAATTTAGACTGATATTTCCTGACGTTCTCCGTGTCCGATTGTTCTTTGAAGGTCAACACTTCTGAAAGACCTTGACTTTGGTTATGATACTTCGCCAATATTATAATAATTCTCTGCATTTATATTTTAACTTCTATGTTACATATATATATATATATATATATACATTCATCTAGTTTTAAAATTAATTTATACTTCACAGTTTGCTATGATACTGAATTTTGCATTTGGGTGATTCTAATTTATTTTTTTCCTTTAATTTATTTAAACAAAAGTGGAGAGACAATGTTTCTTTATCTATTTATAAAAGCAACGTTATATTTTCAATGATATTTTGACGTCAATCTAAGCAAAAGTAAAAATTATTTATTTGACTTTAATTTTAGTTTTGACATGAGAATATGTTAACTTGTTTAGTTTCTTTTATTTGAACATTTCTTACTTACCTACTTACTTACTTACTACTAATACTACTGAAATAGCCTAATCAGTATTACTGGAATATAAAATGAAAAAAGCACTAAATGAGTAGTATACATTGTCTTATTTGTTGTATGTTAAAGAGAAATACTCGGGGGAATTATTAAGTGTGTCGGTGGCACAGTGGTTAGGACTCTCGCCGACCATGCACATGGTTCGAGGTTCGATCCCCTGCCGACGGACACCTGATATCTCTGGTCGGCCTGCAAAATTTGGGCTACCGATATCCCTGCTGAAAATTCCATACGTGTACCAAAAATACAGTGTGGGATCAAGCTGTAATCAAAAAAAGTATATACTATTAATAGCTTGAAAATGTAATTATAATGATTCCAGTTAAACCATTCTTTTCTTATTTCGCTATAAGATTATTATTCTGTTGAATTTGTAGTGCGACATGGGGGTCTAGAGGCACAGTCGTCTTCAACCAGCTGCTTCATGATGGCTAATAAGCTATCATTTCCTGCGGCTCCTCACATGGTCTCCTCGAGGTCACCGTCTGACGCCTAAGTCGTCGTTTACCTTTAGTGGCTTCCAATCGAGTGTCTAACTGGCATTTGATGTCACTCAGCTGTCTATTCTTTTCTTAAATAATAAAACGGTGTCTGTAAACCATAGCAATCCAGAACGAAACTATCCAGAAGAAAAGGCCTTAACAAATCGCTTTCGATCAATCAGATGCCTCCGAATAAAAGTGCGTATTTGAAAAAACGTCTACATAAAAGTAATGTAACGTTAAAAAGAAATTATATAGGATAATGTTCTAGCTTATGTTCCAAGAAAACCTCCCACTTTCTTATAGGAGTCCTCATAATTAGATCGAACCAATTTCTCTGTATAAATTCACCGAGGTAACTGTAAACCACCGTGCTTCATGACTCACTCGCCACCATGATACTCTTTTTTAGGTAACTTTGGAAGCTTCAGATGGAATTTGTGTGGGCTCCATCGAATTAACTGACGATGTGAATGTAGCCTAGGCGGGGTAGTTGGCTACGTGTTTTCTTCGTTCTAATGCGCCTGGTGTCAAAACAGTATTTAAATATTAGAGTACGATGAAATTTGCCACATAATTCATGTACAGGATCCATAATTCCTCCCATAAGCTACAGACTCATCCGACTCGTTGCTCAGGGTCACCAATCCGTTCATTAGGTAGTCTCTTTTTGGGCCTCTGTAGTCTAGAGTCACCAATAAAACTTTATTTCAATCACTATATGAACTCATAGTGCAGAAATTTTCAGCGTATTTAGTTCCAAATTGTTTCCTATTCACACAGGATTTACACGTAAAATGCTAATATGAAGCATATCATGTGACATGGTTTTGGTGCATATTAAGAGAGAACCATCTCTGTAATTCTTTTTTCGTTTCCTTCAAGAATTGCACAGTGTGTAGTCCTGAGTTAGTTACAATATACGTGCGAGTTCATGTACTGGTTACCTGATGTAACTAAAACAATAAGAAATGTGGAAGAGTTTAAGCATTTTGATGAATGAAAATTCAGGCAGTTCAGTGATTTAAAAAGGCCACATATCCAATCCATCCCCATTTTCATATGCATTTTTGCTGGCAATAGATACTTGACTGGTGTGTTACTAGATTTCCTTGTTGCTTAACTTTTCTGGTTCCCATCTACTGACATAAGTCTGCAGCATTCTGCCACAAATGCCTTTGGTGACACGAACGTCAAGTCTCTGAACACTTTGGAACTACTTTGACTGACTCGACGTTAGTAATAAAAGTCCATATCTTGTTCATTTTGCTGAGTGCAGTGGATTTCTACATCGATCTCAGAGATGTGAATGTCTCTAACTTCACTGATGCTGGTTGGCGGGCTTTGAGATCCTCATCCGTGCCGCCTGTAGTTGAAACGATGCTGTCGACGTAAGTGGAAAAGGTATCTACCCTCACTGGCGACTGGTTTTTGTTGTTTGTTCAGTATTTTCGTTAACCCTGCCTTCTCTATGTTCACTTGAAGTCTTGTGTTATATACATAGTTTTGCCTAATTTTACCCACAACCTTAAAGTAACTATTTTAAGGAGTCATCGCGAACTGACATGAGCCTTTTATTTTTCCCTCTGTTTGGAGTGCTGGATTCCTATTGGCTGTTAATACTTTTAATGCATCACTGAATTGCTGTATTTTTAGGGTCATTTTAACCGCAAATACGCAAAGTTTCTTTCCAGTATTTTGACTTTCGTTTGACACAGTAAAAGCTCTCTTATCAACGTACAGTCTTCCCTCTTGTCTTTGCGTGCCGGCGGTGTTATTGTTGTTGTTGACGTGCGATTAAGACAGATTAGCCAGCGCATTAAGTCGGTATTTACTCATAGTCTGCTAAGTCTTAGTTCAAGTCATAAGATGTCGTCTTCATCACTTCTACTACCTACTTGTTGGTTTCCGCCTGCAGATCTTCGGGTTTGTGATACGTTAGCCATCAATTGTCCACGACGTTCGGACCTTTTAGGGCCTTTTCGCTAATCGTATTACTGAGCACCATAATGTTCTACTATACTGTAAATGAAAGCCAGGTCAAATGTATGTCGTGATTGTTTACTCCTTTTTAGGGCATACGACAAGTGCTAAGTAAACCGGATCACTGAGATTTTGATGATTCTGAAAACTAAACACGTTTCGTGTATGATTTTATGTCTCGACAGGGATGTAGGCTGTTTATCAATGTACACTTGACATTCAGATAGTGAATCTGGAATCCAAGTGCTTCACTGCCCATTACACTTCCGAAAATTGATTAGCATCACGTGACAACGGTAACAGGCTGGTTCAGGAACCAATGTGTCACAGATAACCAGTCTTTTCATGTGTTCGTTTGAAAGGATCTGACTGACTTGAGATTCGATTGTGGTCATCATAAACAGATGTACAGTACATCCTCGTTCTCGATGGTCCAATAACTCAAATCGGTCTGTGATCAAAATTGAGTCATATGATTGACGTTCACACCTTTTGGATGTAGTTAATCTCTAGCCATTTAAATGTTACGTTAAACTCAGGGTAAATAACCGTCGTGTACGTATCTGACGGCTAAATCCAGTGTATTATTCCTGTAAGTGTCTTCAAATTTGGTGAAACTTACACGAGACTTAAAACCGAACTTAGTTGGGGACTAAAACAAATCCTTTTTAAAAGTCATCACTTAAGGTGTAGCCGCTACCTTTTCATTGCTGATAATAACAGGTTGTAAATTTGTATCTCACCCTGAAATGGTCATTAGGTTTGCAAAGGACTTCGTCTATGTTTACATATCGAAGACCTCTGAAAACATTTTCGCCAAATACCATAAGAATCAACAGAATTCGCAAGTAAGCGACCGTATTACCTTAAATTAACTCTAAACTACAGTGGCCCAAGACGAAACTAACTAATGAACGGAAACATGACTGTGATTCACCAGCCTGATGAATCCGCAGTATATACGGGGAATTATGGATACCACACAAGAATTATACAGCGAATTTCATCAAAACTTAGTATTTAAGTATCGTTTAGACAGCAGGCTCATTGAAAAGGAGAAAAGGTGTAGATGTGGGGTGTTGATATGGCATATCCCCTATTTGAAGTGGCGCCTCTGGCTTGACCTTGACGGCATTTGCGCGGTTTCGTTGATTCGAGCTGGAGCTAGTCGTCCAGGCAGATGCAGTAGACGTGATCTCGGTGTTTATTTTGCTCTTGTTGGACGAATTTATACGAAAATTGTTGTTCGATATTGTTCTTGAGCATTTACTGATTGCTTGTGTGACAGGACTCTAAAATACATGGTTCGTGCAATGATTATTTGGCGTACCGAGCAAGTCGAGTGGCGGGACAAGCTACGCAGAAGTTTTCCGAAGATCAGGAATCTATACCTTACAATCAGGAAGCGAGCACAAAGAAATCAAATTGGTTTACACTAGCTCGTAAAAACGATATTGGATATTGGAAGCTTCGCGTACATTTCGGCGACTGTCATTCGATAAATTTTTTGCAGCTCGGCGTAAACTTGTACTGAATCGCAAATTTCCCTATCAGCTATTGTGCAGTACCTATTACTGTTGCAGGGACCAAAGAATATGGTTGATATCGAATTCGCTCATCCCTCCGCGCTTTTGTGTGGTGTTTTGATAGCTGAAAGTCAATGAAATGCATAGATACAAGCG